GCAGAGTGCTACATAGTGACGTATATCTGGTTCGAACATGTCGTCAAATATCTCGAGAAAGCGTTGACGAAAATATCTGATACCTAAGAAAAAAATTTGAGTTCAAGTTAAGTAGAACAAAACAATTACCTAATGGCTCATCATCTTCTTCTACGTATTGAAAAATAACATTTTCATTTTCTTGTTGATTGAATTCGATTAAACTTTTATAAGATTGGAATGTTTTCTTTAACTTCATTGCACATAACAATACCATATACAATGTTGGATATTGTCCACCTTGAATAATAGTCAACATGTGCTTGAATGGTTTCAATATCAACAATAACTCATGTATTGAGCGTTGATCAATATTTTTCATCCAGTGTTGTTGCCTTCGTTTCATTAAAACACTCTTTAATTCTTCATAATTATGATTAACCGACTCCAAGCATTCATACAGTGATAACCATCTTACTATCACTGATTGTTTTAATGATTTACCAGTTTTTTCTCGAACTTCACTATTAATTGTTGTCTAGAACGAAACAGATAAATAATACAATAGTTAAGATGCGATCAATAAGAAACTTACTTTCTTGGCATATTTTACTAATTTTTTACATTCATCAATTGTTGTCAATAACTTTCTTGGTTTTAATGAAGCTGACGAAGGCAATTGAACCATGATAACAATTACTGAATCTTCGTCTTCAGATTCAGTAGAATATTCATCAATTTTTTCTACAGCTGTACGCTGTGTACTAGTTGGTTTGTAATTAGATTCATAAATTTCATTACGTTCTGTTGTTGTTTGATTTTGAGATGCATCTTTTTTTCTTATATTCTGGTGAAACAATTCTTTTAAAATATTATTCAAGCGATGGGCGAAACAATAAATCGGATTATATTCACGAAAAGCACCCATAAAGTTGGATCCTCTATCTGATATCCATTGTACTTCTGTTAGATCATGAATACCAAAATCTTTTAATTCTTCTTTTAATGCCTAGAAATAACATGGAAATGAGAAAGAAATAAATTTAAAAAAATTACCAAGATTGTAGATGATGATGATTTATCAGCTTGAGTATAAGGTCGACAAAAAAGTTCCAGTTGATGATATGAATAATCAGAATCAACAAAAGTGACTGTTGCTCCCAAATAAAGAATATTTCTAAACTTGTCTGTCCACATGTCAGGACAAATAGTCACTGATTTCATCATTAATGGTTCAGACAACATCGTTGCAACGTTACTGCGAGCTATATCAGCAATTGCAAAAATACGTCGTGAAATCGTTCTCTCTCGACAAAACACTTCGTCTATATCAACAGAACCATGACTTGAACCTAAAGTAGAAAATGACTATGACAATATGTAGTTTTCTATTCTAGAACTTGATAAAGGCGCCTTACCCAAATTGATCAATAATTGAGCAAGATCTTTTAATCCATCATCTTCCACAATTGAAAATGGACGTAAATCACCACCTATCCAATTAACCATATATGAGTTCACCTTTTCAACTTCAGTTGTTGGCAGTTTTCTTGAAGCAGTAAATGCACTAGGTAGAGTTTGCTGTTTACAATTCGTTCTAGTAGGAGATGGTGATGATGACTCAAACACCAATGCATTTTTCACACATATGTGATTGTTAAATTGTGCTGTACCACTCATTCGGCTATACTTAAAAGTTTTAAAACATTTCTTACAAGACAAAAAATTTGGAATACGACGTGTTGTATTTATATCTCCTTCTTTAACGATGAAATTTGGATATCCGAAAACTTTCCAGAATTTGTCGGAGCTTTCACCTGCAATCACACAATAGTGCTGTTTATCTGTCATTAATTTGTTCTGTATACGATTTGCGATGCCGTAATTTTTTTTTGAGATAGACTATCAATTGAGTCGACAAAAATTGATTCATCAATCGTTGATTCCAGTGACACTGCAGGCGAAATAGTTATAGTTGATTGAAGTTGATATTCTTCTGACTGAGGTGAAGATATTGAAACTTGATCATTATTGGAATTCATCTAATCCGAATAGATAGAAAAATATGTAAAAATCAACTTGAATTGTTAGGTAATATACGTTGAATATAAATGCTTCTACTTTTTTAGTGTTGTTACTTGAATCTTTTGTTCCTTTGTCACCAATGGACACCAATCAGAAAAAAAGAAGATCATGCGATAGATTTCGCTATAATTGAAAAAGTTGCTACTACTATTCAAGACAATACATATATCAAAAAAGCAGAAATAACGTTTAACTGTTGATTGTATTAGGATTTTTAACTTATAACTGTTCATCGTTCTACAATAAATAACTAATCACTTAATAGAAATCGATATAAATCTCAAAATATTTATACAGATGATTTATTTTTGCTCTTTGTTTTTAATGCAGTCCTGCAGGACTAATAAATCATCCTGCAGGTCCTTCATTAAAAAAAAGGTTGTCCTGCTCCTGCGTTGTCCTGCCGATCGCAGGACAAAATTCGAAAAATGCAGGGCAGGACACGAGTCCTGCAGGCAGGACAGTGCAGGACCTGCAGGACGCAGGTCCTGTGACGTTCTCTGATATCTACATTAGATTATCAAAATGAATCATTTAAATTAACTGAAATGACCAGTTTATTTGAACAAATGCCCAATATTTTATGACTTGATTTATATTTTCCATATCGATATGGAATACCAGAATTAACTGCAGAAGAAATTTGTTCAATGATTCCTTTTCATATTCGACATTTCGAAATACAAATTAATAACCTGAATGAAATTGAATTTTTTCTAAAACGACTGAAACATTTATTTAGTATTAAATTTACATACTATAAACGTTCATATTATGATAATATTATTGAAATGTTAGAGAGAGAACAATATGGTTCAACATATCGAATAGATCATTTATCTTTGTCTATCTGGTTTGGAAAAAAACATATTGAGGCCAAAGAAATCAATCTTGGAGCAAAACGAGTTAAATTAACTGATGATTGCGAAAACATTTTTCTATTTTCTTCATAATTGATTTTACTTTTGTTTTTTTCTTTTTCGTCAATTTTAGTTTGTTTATTTTTCTATAAGCTTTTTATAAAATATCTCTGTAATAAATCGATACAGAAAGGAAAGTACCAAAGAAATTTATTTAATTCTTGGTCTTAATTAAATGATTTTTGAAAATCTAGAGAAGACATAATTGGTAAGAACTCCATTTAGTTTCATCAGCATTTTTTATAGAATAAAACAAAATCGTTATCAAAGTCTCGTCTATCATTTTACATTTCTTAATTAGATGTTTTTCCATCGAATACTAATCGAAAATTCATCTATCAAAATATCGATCTTCGGTGGTAATTTGAAAGTGACGATGATTAATTAACTTATCATATTCATGAAAAATTTTCACGATATGTTTGAATGGAATAAACAGAAAGCAGCAGCATTCATATTGAGTTTACATATAAAATTGATGGATTCTTTTTAAATTTGTACATTCCTATTCTATCTTTAATTACATGAATTATAATATTTAATTTGCTTAAAGAGAAAGTATGACTAAATTTTTGTCATGATGTACATCGTAACATCATATAATCAAGTTCATCAATACACTTTTGCTGGCTTTAGTTTTGAAAAATTTTCAAAATGGCGTAGTAAAATATCTCTATGAAAGATCAGAGCAAATAGATCGAAAAATAATCAAATCTAAACATATATTTACAAGCGTTCATTAATTCTTTGATCTCTTCTGGGGCCAATTTTTGTCTGGATGTACCAGTCATTTTATTGCTGATAATTTAGCTGCAATTATTTCCAGACAAATAGGTTTAAGTTTTTCAGATCAATGTCTTGACCTGGAAAAACGTATCAAATTGTTCCTCGACTAGCTTGAATACTATGCCTTACTATCAGTCCAATCTATTAACTTTACTAAGACAAAGGCATTATTCAGTGCTAGAGCAGTAGGTCTACCTAAATTTGACATTAATTCTGATTCGAATAATGGAGAAAAGATTGACTGGGTGAGCGAGTTCAAGTATCTTGGATACTGGATTACACCGAAAATTGGCTGGGGAACAATGATTAAAAAGACGATGACAAAGATTAGACAACGAGTCTCTTTGATTAGATTGTTTAAACTCTTTGGCGGTTCTTCACCTCATCTTAGGCGGGCCTTTTTTTCTTCATACGTGCTTCCTTTGTTCACCTGGATCTATGCTCTCTTCCCGCTTCTCTCCAATGAGCAAAGAAATGAACTTTCGCACTTTTATTACACGTGTCTCCGTAATGTGATGTTCTGTTTGCAGTGGGATATAAACTTTTTCGCTTATGCTATGGATGAGAAATCGTTAGAAGACCGNNNNATAATCCCGGAAGCCTAACCAGAGAGCGGCACAGGACGGTTTTTTTCGTCCTGCCCTGCATTTTTGCAGGACATTACCAAACCTTGTCTTGCTTTTCAGGACGGATTGCAGGACATAAAAATCTTCGTCCTGGCAGGACACACTTGCAGGACAAAAAGTCGTCCTGCGTCCTGCCTGCAGGACGATTTTTTAATTACATTCTTCTAGAAGATAAAATACTAATTATCTAAATATGAGATATAATGTCAAGCTTCCTACAAGTACTCTTTTTATAAAAATCATTTATAATGATCCTGTTCATTAATCTAATCACACAATTTCTGGTAGATATGAAATAAAATGAACAAAAAGTACTAGAAATTCATAAGAAAAAAAAAGAAAATAGAAGATAATCACAATGATACAGGATTTACAATCTTATTGATACTGAAGATGAGATACAGCATGAAAGATGAAAGTACTGTTTACATGAAGAAAGATATAATATAGTTTTATTAAAAAATCTCAAGACACATTTTGAAACAGAAATGAAATGAACAGAGAATAATACTGAGATCCATAAGATCAACAAAAGAATAGCAAAAGAAACATTAAGATACAAAGTTCGCAATGCGATGAAAATTCACAGACAAAAAATTTTTTTTTACTTCTTATTCTTGAATTTCTCGTATGAACGAATAAATAATATATTATCAATTTGACTTGGTGATAAACGTGTTCGTCTTTGAGTAACTGTTAATCCAGCAGAACTAAATAACCTTTCCACCGAAGCACTAGTTGCTGGTATAGCATGTATTCTTCTTGCCACTATTGATAATAGCGGAAAATTACGTCGAGTGTCAATATTAGACCAGAACTTCATTGGATCACGATCAATTGCTTCACCTGGTATAGATAATTGTAAATATCTTTGTAGTTCATCAGGTGGTCTTGGTTGATACATTTGTGGTGCGTGGTAAATGAATTCACAGCTACCCTGACTTGACTGAAAATCGTCAAGCTCTCGATTAATATCTGTGCATGGATCTAAAAAATTATTAATATCAGAAACGTTTATCTAACATCGACGTGCATATCTTTGAATATTACTTGATACGAATGAATCTTCTAAATCTTTAAATAATGGATTAACAACCTTAATTCGTTTTGAGGGTGGTTCTGGTTCTTCTAGTTGATCATCGTTTAATTGTTGCTGAAGGCGATACATTTCTTCACGTATATAAATGAAACATTGTTCTTTTTCGTTCTGTGAGCAAAGAGCTATAAAAAAAAGAGTAAAACAATCAAAATAGAAACTTCACATCGTACTAATTTTTCCCTTACCCATGGTTCTATAATTCGGATGCAAGCAGAGTGCTACATAGTGACGTATATCTGGTTGAAACATATCGTCAAATATCTCGAGAAAACGTTGACGAAAATATCTGACACCTGAGAAAAAAAAAATCGAGTAAAGTAGAACAAAGTAATTACCTGATGGCTCATCATCTTCTTCTACGTATTGAAAAATAACATTTTCATTTTGTTGTTGATTGAATTCGATTATACTTTTATAAGATTGGAATGTTTTCTTTAACTTCATTGCACATAATAATACCATATACAATGTTGGATATTGTCCACCTTGAATAATAGTCATCATGTGTTTGAATGGTTTTAATATTAACAATAATTCATGTATTGAACGTTGATCAATATTTTTCATCCAATGTTGTTGCTTGCGTTTCATTAAAACATTCTTTAATTCTTCATAATTCTGATTAACAGACTCCAAGCATTCATACAATGATAACCATCTTACTATCACTGATTGTTTTAATGATTTACCAGTTTTTTGTCGAACTTCACTATTAATTGTTGTCTAGAACGAAAGAGATAAATAATTCAATAGTTAAGATGTGACCAATAAGAAACCTACTTTCTTCGCATATTTTACTAATTTTTTACATTCATCAATTGTTGCCAATAACTTTCTTGCTTTTAATGAAGCTGACGAAGGTACTTGGACGATTATAACAATTACTGAATCTTCGTCTTCAGATTCAGTAGAATATTCGTCAATTTTTTCTACAGCTGTACGCTGTGTACTAGTTAGCTTGTAATTAGATTCACAAATTTCATTACGTTCTGTTGTTGTTTGATTTTGAGATGCATCTTTTTTTCTTATATTCTGGTGAAACAATTCTTTCAATATATTATTTAAGCGATGGGCGAAACAATAAATCGGATTATATTCACGAAAAGCACCCATAAAATTGGATCCTCTGTCTGATATCCATTGTACTTCTGTTAGATCATGAATACCAAAATCTTTTAATTCTTCTTTTAATGCCTAGAAATAAGATTGAAATAAGATAGAAATAAATGAAAAAAAAAGCTTACCAAGATTGTAGATGATGCTGATTTATCAGCTTGAGTATAAGGTCGACAAAAAAGCTCCAGTTGATGATATGAATAATCAGAATCAACAAAAATAGCTGTTGCTCCCAAATAAAGAACATTTCTAAACTTGTCTGTCCACATATCCGGACAAATAGTCACTGATTTCATCATTAACGGTTCAGACAAAATCGTTGCAACGTCATTGCGAGCTATATCAGCAATTTCAACAACACGTCGTGAGATCGTTCTCTCTCGACAAAACACTTCGTTTATATCAACAGAACCATGACTTGAACCTAAAGTAGAAAATGACTATGACAGTATGTAGCTTTCTATTCTAGAACTTAATAAAGACGCCTTACCTAAATTGATCAATAATTGAGCAAGACCTTTTAATCCACCATCTTCCACAATTGAAAATGGACGTAAATCACCAACTATCCAATTAACCATATATGAGTTCACCTTTTCAACTTCAGTTGTTGGTAATTTTCTTGAAGCAGTAAATCCACTGGGTAGAATTTGCTGCTTATAATTCGTTCTAGTAGGAGATGGTGATGATGAATCAAACACCAATGCATTTTTCACACATATGTGATTGTTAAATTGTGCTGTACCGCTAATTCTGCTATACTTAAAAGTTTTAAAACATTTCTTACATGACAAAAAATTTGGAATACGACGTGTTGTATTTATGTCTCCCTGTTTAACGATGAAAGTTGGATAACCGAAAACTTTCCAGAATTTATCAGAACTTTCACTTGGAATCACACAATATTGCTGTTTATCTGTCATTAATTTGTTCTGTATACGATTTGCGATGACAGTAATTTTTTGTTGAGATACACTATCAATCGAGTCGATGAAGATTGATTCATCAATCGTTGATTCCAGTGACACTGCAGGTGAAATAGTTATAGTTGATTGAAGTTGATATTCTTCTGACTGAGGTGAAGACATTGAAACTTGATCATTATTTGAAATCATCTAATCCAAATAGATATGAAAATATGTAAAAATCAACTCGACTTGTTAAGTGAAATATGTCGAATATAAATGCTTGTATTATTGTAGTGTTGTTACTTGAATCTCTTGTGCCTTTGTGACCAATGCTCACCAATCAGAAAAAAATAAAGAAAATCATACGATAGATTTCGCTACAATTGAGAAAGTTGCTACTACTATTCAGAACAATACATATATGACAAAAGCAGAAATAATGTCTAAGTGTTGATTATGTTAGGTTTTTCATGTTATAACTGTTCATCGCTCTACAATCAATAACTAATCACTTTATAGAAATCACTATGAATCTCAAAATCTTTGTACAGCTGATTTATTTCTGTTCTTTGTTTTTAATGCCGTCCTGCAGGAATAATAAATCATCCTGCAGGTCCTTCATATAAAAAAAGGTTGCCCTGCTCCTGCATTGCCCTGCAAATTGCAGGACAAAATTCCAAAAATGCAGGACAGGACCTGCGTCCTGCAGGCAGGACGATACAGGACCTGCAGGACGCAGGTCCTGTGACGTTCTCTGATTCCTATCAACTTCATAAAATGTTCGAATATTGGTACAAATTTTTTTAATCATCTCCTCGTTATGTATATCAACCTGAGCATTTCTAGCGAAAAGATGTAATGCTTCTGAATGATATTCTTTCTTCAAATAACGTTGATAGCAATTTTCAAGCATATCGCGATCTTCTTTACTCATATCTTCTTTTTTTTTAATTTTTCGAATACGATTAAGCATTTGTGAAAATGAAACATTTGTTTTTTGTCTTTCATTGATTTTAAGTTCAACATATTCGAAATGATCAGACCATAGTAAAGAAGAATAAATACTTGAAGATGCTACAGGTGAGCATTGATAAAAGTCACNTTCTTTTTTTATGTAGTGATAGAGAAAACGACGCTCTATTTTTCTGTGCTATTTGATCACTCTTCAACTAATCTCATAATAATAAAATTTCGATAAGAACTGTTTTTGTATACAACTTCACTAATATGTGAGGTCGATTAAATGGCCACGCTTTGCATTCCAGTTTTGAATCACTTAATAGGTTGTATCAAAAAAATAAAATATGGCATTAGATGCAGCATGAAAAGTTCTACAATTTACGTAAGACCGCTTATTTTATGGTTGCACTTTTTGTTCTCATAGTGAGCAAAATTCTCAGCGACCAATTTTCGACCTTACAAAAACGACATTTTTTTTTGCTACAAGATCAATTCATTTTTGCTTATTTCATCTCTTTACCATCTGATATCTTTTATTTCAAAAAACAAAATACATCAAAAGATGCAGCGCAAAAAGCCCTGCAATCCGTATAAGATCGCTTATTTTAATTACGTACTTCTCGTTTCCAAAAAAAGTAAAATTTTCTCCGATTATCCAAAAAAAAAAATCATTTTTTTCTATACGAAGAAAATTTCTTTTTTTTATCTGAAATATAAAATAAGTCGATCTTTAAAAATTGTAGAGCTTTTCATGCTGCATCTAGTGGTATACTTTGTTTTTTAATATAACTTATTGAATGATTGAAAACTGAAATACAAAACATACAAAGTGTGGCTACATGATCTGGCTCACATACTAGTGAAGCTGTACACAAAAATAGTTCCTATAGAAATTTTATTATTATGAGATTAATTGAAGAGTGATCAAATAGCACAGAAAAATAGAGCGTCGTTTTCTCTATCACTACATAAAAAAAGAAAAGTTATTAAAGCTTTCTATTATAGACATAAGATAATGACGTCACTACTTTTGGTATACCCTAAGTATTTACTCGAGAAAGACTAAAAACCTCGTAATTAAGTAACTTATCGGCTCAAAAACACCTACGATTACATAGATGAGATATAGCTGATAATGAAGATATGTGAAAGGCACACAAGATATAACACGTAATGGAGCCAACGGAGATGCGGGATTGCCTGATACCCTGATGCAAAAGTTGATACATCAAGATTTCGCGGCACCGTTACGGAATATGACGCTTGACGTTTTTGCAAAAGGTTTGGTGATGTTTGATGCGTTCATTTAGGGCATAGTTATGTTGATAGCTTGATGATGCAATTTAACAAATAGAAAATTATACTACTAGTTGTATTCTTCAACTACATGATTTTATTCTTTTGTTCACTTTGCTTCATATATCTCCAAAATCTCGATTATTTCTTATATCTCCATAAGCAGAAACTAGAACAGGGTTCTGAAAATTCATCAAAGGAATTATATTTGTATTTGGGTCATTTATTGTTATCAATGATAAACTTGAAATTCGTCAATGATATCTTAACTAATAAATACTTTATCTAAACACAGCGAAATAACAAACATTCAAGTTTTTACTGAAATTCAGTCAATTGACTACAAGTACCAAACATAACGCGAACAACTTGTATACTAACAAACTTTACAATACTAAACTCAAATGATATGTATGTTGCTTGTAGTAATCAACGTATATACATATATGGAGAAAAATAACACATGATGAATTTATTTGAAGATAATGTTTTCCTTATTTTGAGATCTTGAAACTTTCCACTAGTGAACAACTTTTCTTGTGTGAATTTTTATATTTCATCACTTTTTATCGGTTGACTAATCATATATTTCTCATCCTTATTAATCTTTTTCTATGACTTATATAGTATATATGTATTACACAGATTAGATTCTAGAACATCATAAACTATCAATGAATTTAATTCAAATCAATGTTTGTGACATAATATTCTCTAAAAAATGGCTTTGTTGGTAAACATCATTATTTATTAATAGTTGCAAAGAAATATTTTATATCTCTAATTTTATGTCTATTTATACTGGTTTATAAAAAAAGAAATCTATATTCTTCTTTACTCAGTCATTAAATCAAGGATTGAGACTGTTAAACAAAACTGTAAGATAGTAGAACAATAAATGAACTTAATGAAAGTTCAATTATTCGAATACAAAAAACATACCTTGTTGTTGACCATATTTGGTCTACGACACTGCAATCTTTCTTCAAGAGGAAAGGCAAACCTTTGAAAACTTATATGAACAAAGTCAAAGTTCAATCTACGAGAATAGCCTGAAGTATTAATAATTATTGCATTGATTAATGATACAAAGGAAATCGAATTGGTGTACTGAAGATGCATTAGTAATTTCAAGAAACACTTTCAAAAAATAAAAATCATCATATAAATTGAGAATGTTTCATCACAATAGACTTAACAAATCAAAATTTAGAAATAAGATTATTTTGATATTTCAAATCGAATTCTCAAGTGTGTGACAAACTAACAAAAATATAGAAGGAAACCATTCACTATCATTTAGATGTAATAGTGATCTGGATCAAATTAGTGTTCGAATACAAAATTGCATGAACGAATAAATGTAAGATTATTCACTATCCAATTATTTGAGATGATTGATATAATTCTGAACTATTTAGAACAGCACCCAACTCCAATCCACCAGCAACTAACACGTTTCCATTCATTAAAATGGATGCTGTGTGGTCAGATCGTACAAAATTCATACTATCAGTAGTTGTCCAATTTCCTGTTGATGGATCATACAATTCGGCATTATTTGAATTGCCAATAACTAACACTTTTTCATTTGCTAATACGGTTGCTGTGTGTAATTGCCGTCCACTGTTCATGTTACCAGCCGATGTCCAATTTCCTGTTGTTGGATCATATAACTCAGCACTATTTACAATGTTACCATTAAATAGTCCCCCAGTAACTAACACTTTCCCATTTGTTAATACGGATGCTGTGTGTGATTGCCGTCCACTGTTCATGCTACCAACCGGTGTCCAACTTCCTGTTGTTGGATCATAGAACTCAGCACTATTTAGAAAACCACTATTACCTAAACCGCCAGTAACTAGCACATGTCCATTTGCTAATATGGATGCTGTGTGGTCTCGTCGTCCAAAATTCATACTATTAGTCTGTGTCCAAGTTCCTGTTGATGGATCATACAATTCAGTAGTACCTGCAAAGTTACCAGAACGTCCACCAGTAACTAACACTGTTCCATTTTTTAATATGGATGCTGTATGTCCAACTCGTCCATAATTCATACTACTAGTTGCTGTCCAAGTTTCTGTTGATGGATCATACAGCTCAGCACTATTCAGAAGATTAGTACCATTAAATCCACCTGCAACTAACACTGTTCCATTTGTTAATACCGATTCCGTGTGTGATTGCCGTCCACTGTTCAAGTTACCAGCCGATGTCCAATTTCCTGTTGATGGATCATATAACTCAGTACTATTTAGATACTCACTATTATACATTCCACCAGTAACTAGGACTTTTCCATTTTTTAATACGGATGCTGTATGCCGATATCGTGCAGTAGTCATGCTGCCGGTGTTAAGCCATTCTAAAAGAACCATTTGAATAAATGGAGACTGAAAAATGGAGTATCGTCGAACACATAAGATTTTCTGTGTCTAAGGCAAGTAGTGTAAAGTAATTTTTTTTAATTCAAGTGAAAAATCTTTGAGCATTCTATTGAATAAAAGAAGGTTTCAATTTTGTTCTACGAGATTCTCAATTTTGTGATAGGGAAAAGTGTGACAGCTTTCCATTATCATTAGCAGACTTTTGATATTGATGGTCGATAAAGACTTTTAGTTTGAATCACTTATTCTATCATTCATATAGATTAACCTTTTTTCAATTGTGTACGAACATAGAAAGTCTATCGAAAACTGAAAATTTTTTCTAAACTTTCTTATGGTTCCTTGATTCCCAGATTCAAAATAGCACACTATCCAAGATACAAGTGGAGATCACATCAAGATCAGCAGAACTCTCTGTAACAATAAATTCATGGTTACAAAAAGTATTTTAGAAAATGCATTACTTGAGCTATCCGATATAATAGAAATGTGGAAGAATTTATGATTTTTCTTCGATTTTCCAACAAGTTACCACAGTGCTTCTAATAGTTGTTCAATAATTGAAGAATTCCTATGTCTGAGTTCTTGTATATTATTAACCGCGATATTTTTTTTTCAAGGGAGCACATTTGGTCATATCGGTCGAGGTCGATGACTCTAGACTCCGGAAAGAAGTCGATTTCATTTGAACCGACCGAAATTTGCAGAAAAATATGATTTTCGGTCGTGCCCTATTGGGAGGAAAGAGAACTTACACAAACATCATTACAAAAACCTCGAAACTATCTCCCCAGCAATACTACTTTCAAGTTTCATCGATTGCTGATGTCTTTCTCCTGGATTTGGTTAGTATTTGTTTGACCTGAGCATAATAATAAATAGATATTGTCGTTAGTGTTTTGATAATAGCTGGCTAAAACCAAACTATCATTGAAGAAACAGCTCGAAAAATGTACGAAATGAAAAACAAAATTGTTTCAAGTATCCATCTAGGACATAATGTAGATGTCAAAGTTAATTTAATAATACTATGAATCATGACGAAAAATAAACAAAGTAACTGCTCATTCTCAAATATTGATTTGAGCATATTTCTCAAACTAATTCAAGGCAACAAATATTTTCTTGTAAATTTTATTTTGAATGATCCAGATACTTAGCAAAACGTTACATCGATAATTGACATCACGGTCTATCCGAGGATTACGAAATTTCATTTTTTGTTACGTTGTAAAATCTACTACTAATCATTGGTAAAATCAAATTCTTCGAAACTTTTTTCATAGATACAGATCATTTAGATCAACTATCGGTAAAAATTTTGTTGATTTTTCTTTGGCTTGAACTGATCTGTCTAGAAAATACTGATCGTTATATAAATTCAAAAGGTGGAACTTTTTTTCTAGCAGAGCTGCAATCTCAGCACTTTAGTCTGAGACGGAATGACATACGAATAAGCTTTCTATATAAAAGTTGTTCACGTTTTAACAAGTTTTCAGAATATTGGATTATTTTTTGATAAATGTAACTGCATTGAATGGCAAACTATAAATAGTGTTCGTTACTGAATTTCATTGTTTTTCAGAAAATCACAATTTGGAATAGAATGAATGTAGAACAAGTTAAAAATGATCAGATATTCATTACCAACATCGGATTCTGTATGAAATGATATATTTTTCTAAAATGCAACGAAAAGAGCTTTTTAACTTTTTTCAACTCAAGAAATTTTCAAGAAAAAAGAAAAGTTGAGCTTTTGATTAATTACATACACGATTTTTTTCAAAATTCTATTTTTGTTCAAATATATCCAATTATGGGTATAATTATGAAGAAAAATAGTGCAACACGGTCAGTTATCTAAAAATATCACAAAATTCAGATTGCAATGCAATTGTGTAACGTAATATTTCTAGAAAACAAATGCGAATATTAAATTAAGCTACGTTCAAAACAGACGTGTTCAATAAACCTTGTTGATATCTCTCTGGAGATGTCGTTTTTAATGCGAAAATTAGCAACTTTATCGAGCCTCATAGCGAAATTTTATCAAAACGAAAGATGAGTTTTTGAATGCATTATCTTGATTCCTAGACATCTAACATTTGTATGAAGATCATATATTGTAAGAATACTTTGTATCTGATCGATAGATAACTAATTGAAGAGCTTTTCTTTCCGCTGATCTATACTTGTTTGATGATGTATTCAGCGACCACCTTTTCCACACATTGTAGAGTTGTCCACTTCAAGAAAAATTTCACGTGTCAAGAGCACTCAGTGTTGCTAAGGAATAAAAAGCGCTTCTATTTGAGATACTATCGATTGTTTTCTCTTAAATGGTAGAGTCAGCTTTCTCTAGATCTAGATTCGAGCCCTCTCCATGTGTGAATGGTCGATGGCCAGTCATGTCCATCATCTTGTCAATCTAAATATGATCAGGATGTGTGTGGATATCGGTGCCGGCCTTCCATTCATTCATATCTATAGCTAGCGTTTCAATCTGAAAGCGACTGTTTCTAATAAGAGACGGATGAAGAAAGGATTCTTCTGTGCTCGAATCTTACCCGTTATGTTTATTGCAGTAGAAGTAACTGTCGAAGCGACACTCGCTGTTGTTGTTGCTGTCAAAGTGGTGCTTCCTATTATTGTAGCTGTCGAAGCGGTGTCCTTCGTTGTTGTTACTGTCGAAGCGGCATCCTTCGTTGTTGTTACTGTCGAAGCGGCATCCTTCGTTGTTGTAACTGTCGAAGCAACGCCCGACGTTACTTCTGTAGCTGTAGAAGCCATACTTACTATTGTCGTTGCGCCTGTTGAAGAGACAGTTATCATTGACAGTGTGGATAACGAACTAGTAGACGTGGTAGTAGTAGTTGAAGACTGCGTCGTCGTTCGAGTTAAGAGAACGCTTGGAACGGTCACGGCGGTAGCCACAACTGCGACCACGAGTACAGCAATAAGACCTTTGGCTAAAGGGCCTATTTTTCTATATAGACAAAGATCTATGACAACAGTTTTCTTTAGCTTCGTTATACGAACTTGCCGCTTTTCACTGTTACTAGAGTAGAGTCATCCACATCGAATTTTTCGTATTTTACTGTTGATGTAGGAGCAATGTGGGAACCTAATTGATCAGCCGATGTATCAACTTGTATATCAGCCATGAACGTTAAACACTTAAGTAGTCTACAAGTCAATGAATACCGAATGCAGAACAATTCTGATGAAATAAAAAATATAGCACTATTATTTCAGAGTATGTTGTCATCTTTTGTAACTCACGTTTGCTATAACTTCGCAAGATAAGAGCTCTTTTTCTTTCTAGTCAACAAGAGCCAAGACTTCTTCTTTAGAACATTTTAGCTAATGGCGTCATTACAACAAAGATAAAATGAAATTCATCAGTTTGTTACCAAATACAAAAGAAAAAAAGGCATTTGCTTCTTCTAAATGTTCTTCTTTCTATCCTCAATTCATATGTTCCTAATCTTTGTCATTCAATTTCATTTTTTCACTACGCGTCAAAGAAACAGTGATGACTTCTAAGTTCTAAGTGAACAAGCTTTTACTGGGTGTATTTGCGTTTCACAAGGATATGGATATGAGTGCGGATAAGATACTGAAGAAGCGTAGCACGCACACTCACTTTTATGGACAGTGATTAAGCTTTCTCCTAGTTCTAACAATTAGATTAAAAGTAAATGAGTGCAGTGCAACTTACAGTATTGATCAGAAAGTAGTTTAACTATGCTAAAATACTTGAGCATAGCTAAAAATGACTGCTCAGAATCTTCTAGAATCATCCAAAATATTCTATAAATTTCAATGATTAGTGATGCGTTACTCTGACGGTTATGTACTTTTCAAGATGAGCTATCATTCTGTAAAAAATTTTCCACATACAAATTTTATATTAATATGATAAATTTAAGGAGTATATGTAAGTTTCATATTTCTGCTCATGTAAACCTGCACTGATAAGTTTCATTTTTATCATTAAGAGTTACTGTCACACATCAAAAAAAAGCAAAACGACGACAGCGATAAGAAGAAAGCTTTTAGTCATATGACTTAGTTGAGGACAAACTACATGAATGATAAAAGACATATAAACATTTCATTGATTTTTTTTATTGGATTATTAAAGAATGGGCAATGAATTGCTTTATTAGAATAGCAAAATAAAGAGAAAAAAAAATATATCAATGACTATTTTGGAGCTATTATTTGTTTGATTTTATGACGAGTAGTTCTATTCAACGTAGTGAAAATATTTAGCAGACGAGTACAACTTATCAATATAAGTAATCTAGTAGTCTTGTCTTTGAATAAAATTCGTATACTCTTGAGAATACTCATGGGACTTTTTCACTGCAGATGTATCCAATGATAATGACACGAGTTCTCAACGTGATACTGAAGCTTGTTTTTCACAGAAAATTTAATAAAACATCTATGGAGGGTATCGATGTTGAACTTTGCTTCAAACACAAGCATATCCATGAACAGTTATCATCATACAAGCTTCCACACCATCATGTCTCCACTATATAGAACTGTTTGATTTTGAGAGATTTTCTCCCTTGACAGACATTTTTATAGTTATCAAAGCGTATCATATTGCTTTTCGCGTCTCTATAGTATTGTAAAGAAGTGCCTTTTCAGGATGATGTCTCTGTCATAATTTATTGAGAAATCTTTGAATTTTATCAAATCTCTTGGACATAGTCAGTGATAAAGCTGTCTTTATGCACCTTCCAGTCAGCATAGGCATCAGTCATCTCTGACTGAATTTCACTGACGAACAAGTAATAAAAAATGCCTCTAAAATACTGCGTAATTTCAGTTGTCGAATGCTAGAAAAAAAATGAAATACCTCGACAAGGTAAAATTGTTTAATTTCATGGTTCTTATTAACGAATCCATACTTTAACTTGGTTATCTTGGTTGTGTTTATTTTGTGTGATCTTGTATGTAGATGAAAAAATAATTTGTAGTCAGTCAATAACTTGATCATCTAATATTCTACATCAACAATTAACAGTCAAAATCTGTAGATTTTTCATTCACTTGATAAATTCATTTATACTGATTGAATCTTCGACATTAATTAAAAGACTTTCGCACTGAGAGTTCAACGGTGCCGAGCTCAGCAACAAGCATTGTTCTTTATTGAATCAGTACTCAAACTTCGCCATATATCATATGTTAAAGAATAGAGACGATCTGCTCGATCAAGCAAGTTTTGTAATTCTGATTGAACATTAGGACGATTCAATAGCTGTCAAATATGATCGTTTAACGGAAGTGTTAACTCCATGTGACGAACATTGAAGAAACAAACATGAGACAGAGTCCATGTTTCAGATAATGGACAATGACTGCTTAAATTCTTCAGACAATCATAAAGTTGATGAGCATCATCGCAATCACATGTTGATCTGATCTCAGCTTTACTATCATATAGAGAAAAATGTTCAAATGGATAAGGTATTGTGTAGAATCAATAATAATTTATTCGAATATCAATCGTATCGTACATACCACTGATACTCTTCAAGCCAGAATGGAGTTCGAAACAAATCGGCTAGTTCCCAATAGAAAAAGAAGTAGTTTTGATTAGTCATTGTTAGTCTAAACACTTTCAGTTTTGGTACATGTTTCACAATTAGTTGTTTTCATTCGTGTCCATTGAGCAAGTCGATTTCTATCTTGATTGTTAGATGAATCAAATTAGTTGTCTTTTGAAATAAATTCTTCGGCACTTTGTATGCATCGAATCCAACGTAAACGACTTTCAATAAAGTTAGGTATGGAATGGCCAATATAGATATTTCTGAACATCGGTAAACATGTTTAATATACACAGAAAGATGTTGACGGTTTGGTGTGCTTTGGAAAAGACAACTCAACCGTGTTAGCGCACCGTTAAGGACTCTCAATAGACAGAGAGACAATGAAGTCTCTGTTAGCTCCAAAATATGATATATTGCTGGATAGAAATTTGAATAGATCAAGTAATACCACGTTCAGAAAAAAAAATCCAGACTTTTCGAAGACTTTTCGCTCAAAACTTGTTGTAAAAAAGTAGCTAAAATTTGATATTCTTTATCAGCTCGATGAGCTCTATCGAATGATATATGATTGAACATGAACTATTTATTTTTTGTTTCTTTTTTGCCTTTGATGCATCTTATTATACAAAAAGCTTTTCATCGACAATTGATCAATGATGGTGAAGGACAATGAATATGATGTATTGTTCAATCTTTCAATCAATTACAAATATTTGATTCTATTTTTCATGCTGCTCACTTTATAGTTCTATATTCTGTGAATTTTCTTTCAGCTCTGATTACAATAGTGACAACAGTTCAAACATATTCCAAAGCTTATCAATAACAAACATATAAAAATTATTTACGACGACAAATACTGAATTATTATCTTGATGATAAATAGCACCGATAAATCTTTCAAGTTTGTAATCACAGCAGATGCGGAAAGCGTGTTGATGTTATCAGAAACAATTGGTTGCATAGACATTTTCGATAAATACAATAAATCTTAAATAGAAAGACTCTACAAAATTAATATTTTAATCACACATTTTGAGCCAAGCGAAAAAGAGCCTCGTCAACAGTAGATATTGGCATAATGATGGATGATGATAAGGATACTGCTACGATTGAAAAGGAGAGGAGGAACACGTGCATACGTCATGAAACAATGTTTTGGGATGTTATCAGGTTTTCTGGATCTATTTTGGTTCCTCTCATGATTGGCTTGGCGACTATCGTAGTGACTGTCGTTCAAATTCAAATCGCCAATCAACAACGCGCACAAGACTTTTTTATTGCCAAGGCTGATAGAGACGAAAGCTTAAAAATTGCCGATCAAATAAGATGGGACGCGATCTTAGCCAAATATTTTGAAGAGATATCTGAACTTTTCACGTCTCCTAACTTCTCATTGGCCAACATCGATGGTGCTCTTACATCTGTTATACGAGCCAAAACTCTTGCTGCTTGTCGCCAACTCAATACAGAACGTAAGGCATATCTAATTCAATTTCTTTATGAAGCAGGTGTTCTTATAGCTGGTCAGAATCCTATTGACATCCAAGATGCTAATTTGGACGGCATTAACCTTGGTTTGACTCCGTATCCATTTTTATCCTGGAATCTTGACAGTATTTCACTTCCTGGAACATCACTCATCAATGCCTCATTTTTTGGAAGATCTCTGCGAGACGCGAACTTTTCAGCAGCTATTTTGACGAGTGCTAATTTTCAAGGCTGTGACCTCGAAAATGTGTCTTTCCACTTTTCTGATCTCCGAAATGCAACTTTTTCAAGTAAATGCAAAAAATGCGATAATGTAGACTACTCACTCTGTGATTTGCGAGGATCAAATATAGGTGATAATCATTTGCGAAACGCTCGTTCGATCTTCTTTACTGTTCTACCCAATATGACATTTGGACGAAACCATAATCTATTGTTTAATGGTGATGCCGAGCAGGAACAAACCTGCTCTTTGATCAACATTGCGCCGATTCGCTATGGCAAATGGATATCGGTTCCTGCTGGCAGCGTCGGTGTGATGACTGTCGATTCCACGATTGCTGAGATGGTTGCCCATCAATGGATCTCTTCAACGTCCGACGACGACAAGCACTTTATAAGTCAACTTATCTGGAATGTAGGGCGATGTTCGTTTGTTGCTGCTGGATATTGTCAAGTGTCCTTTGCTAATGAGTTTTATGTACCTGAACGATATCGAGCTTCACATTTATCAAACTATTCGTTATATCTATCTGTATTTTGTAGTCCACTACAAAATGAAAGTGATATGACGATTGATGTGGTTTTACGCGCACTCAATAAGTTCAATGACACTGTGAATTTGGAAATTTTCGGTATATTTCAGTGTTTTGCTTTTTCTATTTTTACATTTATGATTTTATCAATATAGGGCTGTATCCAGGACAACGCTTCATAATGAAAAGTTTTCTTTATCCACCGAATACTACTCATGGATCGATTGAGTTCATCTTTAACAATAAGCAAACAGTAACAAGTGAAAGTCGACAAGAGCCTTTTGCTTTCTGTGACAACATTTACTTATCGCTTGAACTGTCGTCGATCGCTAAGTTAATTCAAAAACGACCACCATCACGATGATTGTTTTATGCAAAAACTCTTCATAGGTGATCAGCAAACAAACAACGACACATCAATGACTTCTGAAACAAGATGATTGAAAGAATTCGAATACTTGAGATCCTAAGACTTCATGTTTATTCTGTGTATAAATTACGAATCATCGAATTTATGTAAAAGTGCACGATTCCAATAAGTTTTTCGTAATATAACATATGTTGTCAAGAGTGTGAGTGTTTTTCGTAAGAGAGTTTTAGAATCCAAGTTACTTACGGTGTATTTCGATGTTGCTTAAGAGTCATCCATCGAGAACATTGGAAATTATTGTTGCATATCTATCAATGACAATTTGTAAAAGTTTATGAAAGTCAATTGAGGATGTGGGTGGGAATGAAATAAATAAGCGAATGAACAATGTGATGAAGCGAAAATGAAGAGCAAATAAATGGATAAATAGATAAACGAGATAGACGTGATAAACCTTTTTCTTCTTGTGATTTCCCTTAATTTATATTAGTTTCTTTTCGTTTGGGGTTTGAGTGCAAGTCTGGCTGATTAGAAAGAGAGAGCATACTCCACCCAGAACCACATACACATCTTTCTTATAAGAAATGAAGGTACTTTGACAATAGATTGTTGAACAGATGATAGCCAACTGTTAAAGTATCGAACTACTACCAGTTGGTTGCTGATATAGCACATATTATTCTGAACGGCTTATCGATGATTTTTCTTCAGCTTGAATTATATATGAATTAGAGAACGTCGCAGGACGACTTTTTGCGTCCTGCCCTGCAAGACAAGAAATCATCCTGCGTCCTGCCTGCAGGACGTTTTTTCAACTGCATTTTTAACAATAACAGAAGTTTGTATGAATATCAGCTACAATGTCAAATAACGTAAAATTACTATTTATTTAAAAAATTTATGCAATAATCATACTAATAGAGCATATTACATGTTTCCCACAAGAAATAAAATGATAAGAAGTAAACCTTAATAAAGTGTGTTAGGTAGTGGCGCTATCTGCTATCCACTACCTCTATTTTCTCTCTATTTCTCTCCATTGGTCACTCTACGTACTTATGTTTTGTTTACGCTGTGTGACTAGATATGGAGAAGTCTGTTTTGTTGTCTCGTTATATAGAGTAGTGTTGTGTTGTTTTGTATGAAGAGTAGTTGTGAACAAGAAAATAGTAAATAAAGACAAGAAGTATTTAGTTAGTCAACAGACTAACAAAGTGGATAATAGAATAAGAAAAGAGGGTATAAAAATTCATAATCTGATATATGTTGAATATGAACCACAATATTAAATATCATAGAAATAATAGTCAAATAAAGATCGTTTACCACAACTATATTAATAGATGTTTCCAAACTAGAATAAAACGTATAAAACTTTAACATTGATAAGATGAGCAAAAAGAACAAGAAAAGAAATAATGATGCACGATTCATAATGGGATATATACTGAATATGAGCTACAACATTAAATATCATAGAAATACTATTTAAATAAAAGTTTTTCACAATTGCCATTTTAATAAATATGTAGCACGTTTTTCAAAAAAAGATATAAACAAGAAAAACAAATACATAAGAAGAACTATATAATCAGAGAAAAAAGCATCAGTTTTCTTTTTGCTGCTTCTTGAATTTGTCGTATGAACGAAGAAATAATACATTGTCGAGTGGACTCGGCGATAAACGTGTTCTTATTTGAGTAATTGTTAATCCAGCTGAACTAAATAGCCGCTCTACAGAAGCACTGGTCGCTAATATGGCATGTATTCTTCTGGCTACTATTGATAGAAATGGAAAATCACGACGAATTTCACGACTAGACCAGAACTTCATTGGATCACGATCAATCAGATAACTTGGTATGGATAATTGTAAATATCTTTGTAATTCATCGGGTGGTGTTGGTTGATATATTCGTGGTGCATGATAATTGTATTCATAACTACCTTGACTTGACTGAAGATCGTCAGGTTCTGCATTTATTTCAGTTGATGGACCTGAAAAATTATGAATATGACGAATTTTTATCGGATATCTACATGCATATTAGTGAATATTACTTGAAACGAATGGATCTTCTAAATCTTTAAATAAAGAATGAACGACCTTTGTTCGTTTCGCTGATAGTTCCAGTTCTTCTAATTGATCACTACTTTGCTGTTGCTGAAGACGATGTATTTCTTCTCCAATGTAAATAAAACAATTTTCTTTTTCATTGTATGAACAGAGAGCTATGAAAGAAAAAGCAATCCAATAAGAGTAGAAGTTTTGTATAGTCATAATTGTTTTTCTCACCCATGCTTCTGTAATTCGGATGCAGACAAAGCGCTGCATAATGACGAATATCCGGTTGAAACAACTTGCCTAATAGTTCAAGTAGGCGTTGGCGAAAATATTTCACACCTAATAAAAAAAATATTTAACTTAAGTAAAAATAGACAAATACCTGGTAGTTCATCGTCTTCTTCCACATATTGAAAAATTATATTTTCCTTTTGCTGCTTGTTAAATTCAATTAAATCTTTGTAAGAATCAAACGTTCGTTTTATTTTCATGACACATAACAATACCAAATACAATGTGGGATATTGTCCACCTTGAATAATACTCATAAGATTTTTAAATGGTTTTAAAATTAACAATAATTCATGTAATGAATGTTGATGAATATATTTGATCCGATGTTGTTGTTTTCGTTTAATTAATAAATTTTTTAATTCTTCATAATTCTGATTCACAGATTCTAGACATTAATACAATGATAACCATCTCACAATCACAGATTGTTTTAATGATTTGCCAGACTTCTCGCGAACTTCATTATTAATTGTAGTCTAAAACAAAATTTAAAAAAATCCGACATGAAAGATTTCTTTTTACAGTACCTACTTTTTAAGCATACTTCACCAACTTTTTGCATTCTGTAATTGTTTCTAATAACTTTCTTACTTCTAAGGAGATTGACGAAGGTAGAGTAGGAATCATCGTGATTTCAGAATCTTCGTCTTCAGATTCGGTCGAATGTTCTTCCGTTTCGTGTGCGATATTATTTTATGTATTGACCATTTCGAACGCCGATTTTTCATTCTCGTTCGAATCTGTTGATGTTTGATGCTGACACGTACCTTTGGTGTTAATTTTTTGATGGAATAATTCTTTTAAGATGTTATTCAAACGATGAGAAAAGCAATAAACAGGTGAATAATCGCGAAAAGCACCCAAAAAATTGGATCCTCTATCCGATATCCATTGAACTGACGCTAAATCATTAATTCCAAAATCTTTTACTTCTTCTTTTAATGCCTAGAAAAATGTAAATAAAAAGAAAATAGTTTCATAAACAAAAGTTACCGTGATTGTGGATAATGCTGATTTATCAGGTTGTGTATAAGGCCGACAAAATAATTCCAATTGACGAAATAAATAATCAGAGTCAATAAAAGTAATTGTTACTCCTAAATAGAGAATATTTCTAAATTTGTCGGTCCACATATCAGGAGAAATAGTTGCTGCTTTCATCATCAAAGGTTCAGCTATAATCAAAGAAACTTCATTTCGCAGCACATTGGCAGCTTCAACAACTCGTTTTGATATGCTTTTTTCTCGACGGATAAAATCATCTACATCAACGGAACCATAAGTCGAACCTAAAAATATAACATAAGCATGGTAGAACAAATATTTCTAAACTAGATATTAACAATTATGTCCTATCAATATTGATTAACAATTGAGCAAGATTCCTTAAACCACTATCTTCTACAATCGAGAATGGACGTAAATCACCAACTATCCAATTCATCATGCACGAGATCACCTTTTATATTTCCTGAGATAGCAATTTTCTTGATGTAGTAAATGTATTAGTTAACGTTTGCTGTTTGAGATTTGATCTAATTGGTGATGGTGATGATAATTCAGCGGTTGTTTGTAAAAGAGAATCAGATGTTGTTGTGCTTGTATCAAGCACCATTGCAACTTTCGCACATAAATGATTATTGAATTGTGATGTACCACTAACTCGACTATACTTGTATGTTTTAAAACACTTTTTGCACGACAAAAAATTAGGAATACGACGTGTTGTATCAATACCTCCATCATTACACATGAAAGATTGCATTGATGACGTTGAACAGATGCTAATGGTCGATCGAAGCGGATATTCATCTGATAAAGATGGTGATGATGGCATTTGATCATTATTGGAAGACATCTGAAATAAAATGGATCTAAGAATACATATAATGAGCTAATATTGTTTAGTATAAAACCCCGAAAAAACATCAGTTATGTAATGTACAAACTTCTATTATAGATCAAATAAATGTATATGATAACATTCGTTTAAAAAAAAGAGTTTATAGGAACGAGAAGATAAAGAAAAATCGAGAAGAATATTCTCCTTCATTAAAGGCGTACAAAAAATGTCCTTAAACTGACTGAGAGAACAGAAACAACAGAAGCAAAGAAAGCGAGCCGATTTATGAATGAAAGAGAAAAATAAAGAAGAAAAGACAGACGAGAATGGATAGAGAAGGATGGACGCAGAACGTCAGATCGATATATGTCCATGATCATTGAGAAATAATCCTAGCTCGTCTATTATCTATCACAATCATCCTTTTGTTTGTTCACGTAATGCCATCTGATTGCTTGATCCTTTTCCCTCAGCGCGCGCCAATAAGAATATCTTACAAAAATCTATTCGATAGATTTCATTGTCGTTTAGAAAATTTTTAACAGTGCTGTAAAACAGTATAAACCTGAAAAGATAACAGTAGCTACAGTTAAATGATGCTGAATCCATAATGTGTTTCCTTTTAATACAATCGTTTGTCCTACAAATTATCAACAGAATTTGTATGGAAATCTTTGTTGGCCTCAGGTTACTTGCATAGTTCATTCTCTTCTGTTTTATGTTTTTTTTATTTTGTCCTGCAGGACGCAAATATTGTCATGCAGGTCCTGTATACAAAATAAATGTCGTCCTGCTCCTGCATTGCTCTGCGTATGCAGGGCAAATCCACCTAATCTGCAGGACCTGCGTTCTGCGACGTTCTCTGCTAAGTTTCGAAAGTTTTTACAACGAATCGATAATGATAGATTGATATTTTTCGACGAAATAGCCATTTACACTACTATGTTACCTCGTCGAACGCTTGTTGCTCCAGAACATTCACCATTAATTATTGTTGATAAACCATCAGCTTATTCTGAACGCTTTGACTTTATTGGTGCGATGAATGGATCGCACGCAATTGCTTGCATGACTTTAACACCTACCGATCGTAGAAATAGAAATGTCAAAGGTGTCAGAAAAGAAGTAGTCAATGAATGGATTGTCGATACATTAGCACCAGCAATTAATCAATTAGGTACTGATAACATGTATTTGATATGTGATAAAAGTCGAGCTCATAACAAGACAAATATGATGCAAGCATTAAAGGCTGGTAAATGTAAATCAGTCATAGATATTTTATGCATGCCAACAGCATCAGCGAAGTATATATCACCATTAGACAATCCAATTTGGCATTCATTTAGGGAAGCCATTCGAAAATCAACATCCACTTACAACGACAAATCTTCCATCGCTACTCTCACGAACTTTTCATTCATTGTCGAGAAAAGAAATCCGCAATGCATATCACAAATGTGCTATTGTCTATGGAACAGATGTATATTATGACCAACCATCTCGATAAATAAGTATTTTCTTCTTTATAATCCAGATGAAGTATATATTGTAGTGAAAAAAAAAATCATCTTTTTTCCGATGTATTTTTTATTGTTTGATTTCGATTTACTATTGACGATTAATATATCAAATGATGCAGTGTAATCTGTACTTTCTCGCTATATACTTATTATTAGAAAAACAGCGAACTATAATAGTGTAAAGTGAGAAATATTGAAAGAGGAAAACCAATTGAGGTGCACAGTAGTTCAACTAATCAGAGTCAATGAACGAATCATTCTAATTTTTCTGAACCCACTTTTTCTATAACTAGTCAGAATGCAAAAAACATGGGATAGAGACTTAAGAAAAAAGTTGCTTGACACCATCTGAAGAAATTCAATGAATCGCAAATGATCAAAAGAAAGTGAAAAATTTGCAAAGTATGCCTTTTGTACATGAGAACCATTTTCTAATGATTCTATGAGCAAATAACAATTGCTTTTGGCATTGGTTTTCTGCTAATGAACACTTTGTCGGACGCAACTCAGTTAGAAAGTAACTATTCTGTTGTAGGAAGTTAAATATTGACGTAGCTTCATTTTATACATCCACCAAGGTCATTGCACTTATTCAAGAAATAGAAATCATATTTACGGATGCACTGGAATCTGGTGATCGAGCAAAAGCAATGAAACGTCTGCGTGTTCCACCTCTTGATGAAAAAGGTTCATCAAAGGTAGCATTTCGTTTTGGAATGCTTGTCGGTCAGCTCATTCATTTCGTTTTTTTGATAAAGTAACAAGTTCGTTCATTTCTAGGAATGCTCTGCCTTTTATTACTAATTTTATCCATACTTGCCACTCAATTAAATACAAGTCAATCCAACCATCCGCTAGCCTGGCGTCCGGCACTTCTTCTATACCGTTCTACATGTTTGATTATTATTCATATTATTTTTGCCGGCATTAATATTTATGGTTCGTCATCATCTGGTGTCAATCATGTTCTTATATTTGAAATCGATTCACGCCATCATTTAACCTATCAACGTGTACTTGAAATTGGAACATACCTTTTTGTTTTCTGGTTTCTCAGTTTTAATGGATTCATTCTTGCATCGTATTTCGATTGGTATCCTTTTATACAGCCACTCTTATTCACTGCATTAATGATTCTCTTTATTATCAATCCAATACCAATACTATATCGTAGGACACGCTTCTGGTTTTTAAAAAAATTAGCTCGTGTTTTTTTGGCTCCTTTCCATTCTGTTGGTTTTACCGATTTTTGGCTAGGTGATCAGCTTACTTCACTTGAATTAATATTTTACGATTTAGAATCGTTCTTCTGTTTCTATATTTCTCATCGTCAATGGTGGTCATCAAATTTAACATCTCCAGCAGTACATAAGGGCCTATTTTGCATAGGTTGGTCCGAGGTTTTCTTACAAACTATCCTTCTAATGCTACCATCTTGGTTTCGTTTTGCACAATGTTTACGACGATATCATGATAGTAAACATACATTTCCACATTTGGTCAATGCAGGTAAATACGCTGCTGGCTTTTTCATTATAATTACCAACTCCTTACGACGTGCTACCATTACCACGTATGATGATAATGAAATGAAAAATCTATTTCTTTACATATGGGTTATTACTACGATTGTTGGTTCTACCTACAAACTTGTCTGGGACCTCAAAATGGATTGGGGTTTTTTCGATAAAAATCCCGGTGTCCATAAGTATTTACGCGATCATCTTGTTTATTCACGAAAAATTTATTACTATGCAGCTATTGTAGAAAATATTTTATTTCGATACATTTGGACAATCAATATATTTATTCATTTTCATGAACAATCAGCCGAATACGCTGATTTGATCGGGTTTTATTTTGGTGTCGCCGAAATATTTCGCAGATTTATTTGGAATTTTTTTCGTTTGGAAAATGAACATTTGAATAATTGTGGTCAATTTCGTGCTGTACGTGACATTTCAATTTCACCGATCTCGACGAATATCGATTGTGGATTCATTGGCTATAAACGAAAAGAAAAACCAGGCACTCAACGTTGACGCTGAATAGCACCGAGTCAAACGTTTATCGAAGAACAGAACACGTCGTCAGCGCATATTGGTATGTGTAATGAACCATTTGATAACACAGCGTCATTTATTCAAGACCTTGCTCCAACAAATGACACTACGATTGTAGAAAATGCAGATTAGCTACAAAAACAACGAAAAGATACAGCATCGCTGGAATCCCGTTCATTAGTGTCTTAGTGTGATTTTGACTCATCGAAGGGAATCGCTAAAATTCATAATGACACTCGATGACTCAAAACTTGTTTTTTTTTCAACAAATCTATCAATTGTTTCATTTCTATCATGTTCAGTCTATTACTAAGCAATGTTTCTTTAAAATAAAAGAGTGGGCGTGACTGTGGTACATGAGATGTGTGTGAGGATATAGGTCTTCTCGCTACCCATTCTGATGGCCACACCCCACATTCTAACGAAACCAATGGTCGTAAAAGATTGCTGTTTACGACTACTGTAAAATGCGGTACCAATAAATGAACATCGGGCAACACTGTAGCCGATAGTATATAGCTAGTATTTAAAAAGCCTGTAAAGTACAATGAGTTGATTTAAACTGTATCGAACATAATTATTGCCAAATACACATCATTCAATGCAGGGCTTACAAGTCGAGTAGGCCATTCAATCTAACCAATATAGGGGTGGTGGTGGGGTGTGGGTGTAGCTTTGCCTGAGAAGAAAATAGACATCGACACCATCGCTCAATTCCAACGGTCTTTCGGTCATGTTTCTATAATTATATTTTCTAAATAGATCCTAGCAATATCAGATAATCGTGAACCAATAATAATAAAAAGAAAGGAAATCGATGTGATATAATGAATAATATTGAATTAATTGTAATGCTTTTTTTTGATTGAAATTCATCAACTCGATAGAGACGTGGAAGTAAGAAAGGAAAAAAAAATTATAATCGTAGATTTATTCAGCACTACTTTATTTACATTTTCTAGATGCATATTGTCATTGGCTGTACAGACATGAACGGAAGAAAAACAAATGATAGCAGCTAAAATAAAAAATACATTAGTCTATGCTATGTTTCAGTGTTTCCTTTGCTGTTAATCTACTTCTTTTTTTCTTGCCCTTTCTTGTTTGTCATAGTTACATTTTCAAAAGAAATTCAACAGAATCATGTAATTAACGTTTTTTTTGGCAAGCAACACACTTCTGAGTTCGTGCAAACACATCAGGCATCGCTAAAATGAAGACGTTTTACTTTTTTTATTTTAAATTCAGAAAAGGAACAATCATGTTTTCAATATCTCTGAGAATTTTAGTTGAAAAAATGTCAGCAATAATTTTCATTATTTGTCAACATGTATGTGAATATGTATTGTTCTCTTTCGCATTCGTACAAGCAGAAATTATTTTCGATCGAAATCTTGTTTCCTCATATGTTTTTCATTGATATGTGTTTATAATATACATAGTTCTAATGATGCTCATTAGCATAGTGCAAGAGTTTTCTCGCTGATATTGTTAAAGACATTAAAACTGAGTGAATATGGAATGGAAGTAGACACAATTTGAATCTTATTTCTTTGTAAATCACGGAAATTAACACAAAATTAGCAGTTATAATAGTAAAAAAAAGACAAAAATTTCTTCTCATTTTACACATATTTCGAATGTATATAATATAAATCAAGAATCATTTTAACGAGATTATGAGGGATGACATATCCATTCTGCTAGTATCACTGAACAACAAAGCATAAATTTAGCAGTGCTTGTCTATAATACGAGTCCAAATGTAAACGACGCTTTGATATTCACATATGACCCTAACACTTAAAAGCAAAAAGTAAATTCTTTTCCACTTATAATATTCATTTAAGTGATATCTATTTCAATGAAATAGCAAAGAAGCCATAGACTAATTTTATTCTAAATATTGATTCGAATTTGAATTAGACGTATTTTGTACATGATGCGACTAAAGTTCAAAAATATAATTAGGCAACACTTAAACTATTGCAATACATAATTGGTGAAAGTTTTCATGACTTTCTGTATGTAAGCACACCATCAAATAAGATTGTAAATCTGCCACCTCCTTAAATCTTTCCTTCAATAGAATAGAAAGATAGAACAAGAACCTCTGCATCTAACTGTTTATTCATTTTGTTTTTTTTTGCTGAATAAAAACGTTTCGTGAAGTAAATAGTTTCTTCAGAGAAAATCTGTTCTGTCCTGAGGCTCATTCTTTTTGGTAACTCGTAACCATGTGACAAAATAGAGGAGTATTGTCCTATTGAATCTTGATCTCGTCGCAATCCCAGAACAATATGAATAAGATATTAGGAATCAAAAGAGAAGCATTCTTTATATTATATACATCTTAGCAAAAATAATCTTTTTTGGAATAAATCTATGTAGTCCTCCTGGCATTACGTATTTTTATAAAAAAAAATATTTTTTTTAATTTTGTTCTCAGATTGAAACGTGATCAATATTCAATAGAAAACTGATCGACATCAGATTTTATAATACTGTCCTAACTGACCAATTTGTTATGAGATATCAAAAAAATGAACTTAGGACAGAAGAGATTTTTCCTCAAAACGAGATAGATTGATCGAGCATGAGAAGACATAGTTTTTGATTAGAAAGATTTTTGGAGCAGATTTCATATTTAAATACATGAATACCGACAATGATATGAAAATTCTTCTATGTGATACGAAAATCGTATTAATAGTACCTGCCTACCTTGTCTAAACCAATTGATAAATATGATTGTTATGTCATTTTGTAGAGCATAAGAGAAAACGTTGATGAACATCTTGACTTTTCACATTGAGTTTATAATAGAAAAATTATGCATGCTGTAGTTATTGTATGAAACATCCAAAAGGTATAGATTACTCTAATATTATTTAGTTTACAACACTTATTTTAACAGAGAACAAAATGAATAAGCACACACAAATTTGCGGCATTGCATGTTCTATCGTTTTGATCTATTAAATGTAAAGTCTAAGAAGCTTGGAGAATTACGATTTTGTCCAAGGATAACTTTTCCAATGACGATTGGAATAAAATTTTCGCTTACTTATCATATGTGTACGCAAAGTTCTTATTGATGTGCTTCAATCTTTGAAGGATTTTCGATCTCTAATTAGGGAATTCGTAATGACTTCAGCAACCATAAGGCACGGCACATATGGTTGAGAATTATGCACATTGGGGAACAGTCGTTTTTACTGAACTAATCGTGAATTATGTTTAGTACATTTCATAACGGAATAAAAGGGTGTGGATGTATCCCTTTATCTACACACACCCACACTTCTGTCAAATGGGACTGCATTTGGAAGAATACAGTTCTATGAATATATGATAGAACCGGAACCACAGTTCCTTGCAGTATTAAGAAAGGGTGTGGGTGGTGGAGTAACTTTGGATGAGGATGTGGGTGTGTGTAAATAAAGGAATATACCCACACCCACACCCACATTCAGATCTTTCAATTGCTACTATCCTAAGATATGGTTAGGGTAAAATTTTCTTGCCATTGGAAACTCAACTTTCCTATTGTTCCTGATAGGGATCATGGTATTCTGACAAAAAAAATAAGGTAAAAATGCTGTATCTCGGCAATCATAAGCTATTAGCTCGAGCTTTTTTCAGGATATTCCTAGCTCATTGAGAACTTACATAATGCGCATCCTCCTACGTAAAAGTGAGTCGACGCTTAGAAATGTTCTCCCATAAGTCCTTGATGTATTGAAGGTGAAATTAATAGAATCTAGTTAGATAGGTGCCATTTCAAATCTCACATTAATTTATTCATAGCAGCAATAATCCAGTCGATTCAGAAAGTTTTTAGAGTTTTCGCTAAAACATTGATATCTTCAAGTAAAAAAAAACCTATTGGATGAGATCTCGTGAAGATCACTCACTTGATCAGGAAAGAATCTCGACATTGTTATTTATGATCAAAAGAGAAGAGAGTCTATAATGGCTAAAAACCTGATCATATGGTTTCCGAATATTCTTCTATGAAATTACTATTAATCAAGCAAGTGATCGATGTTAATAGAAAAGAAATGACAACCGTGAATGGAACAACAATCTTCTTTTCATGTGACGTTCCATTTGTATCCTTTCAAGAATGTCGAAAACAACATTCTCAACCAAATTTAAAAGTAAAAAAAAAAGCTATTTTGTCCTTGTTTTTTTTCAAATAGGCATTTGTATCATTAGAAGCAATGGGTAGAAGATATAATAAATGCTTTATGCATATGTCATAATGATGAAAATCTAGCTGTATTAGAAAAACAAGTTTTCTTTTTCATTGATATTTATCCATACATTTTTTTTAGTGTGAATATCTGCTTGATGATAAACAACAACAACAACAGAATATAATCGATGCTAACAATGAAGAAGGTATTAATCCCAATTCAACAACATTTCCATCTATTATGAAAAATTCAAGTGTTCAACGAGTACTTCATAACTCAACCATATTTTTTACGTAGATTTTTGTTATTTTTAATAATTAATGTCATTTAAACGACAACCTTCTATTTAGTTATGCTTCAATTATATGAAAATCCAAGTTTAATGACAACTTATTTAACGATCTAGAAATGGAAATTTTGTTGTTACATATGAGTCATATTTATCATACTGAAAGATAATCGACTACTACATAAAATAGTAATTAACGTAATATTGATTATCACGAAAGAAATTTATTTGGTAAGGCTGTAAGTTCGAGCGAAAATGATGCTACTTCAAATCGTGTATATTTTTTAACTTTTATTTGCCCTATTATTTGTTATTATAAATAAAATATTCGAACATAAACTACTGGCAGGTTATAAAACAAAAAATTTCATTGACTTGTGCAAGAGCAGTATTTCTGAAGCGTGGTGAAAGAACAGTAAAAAATATGCATTAAGAAACCAGTCGAAAAATAGATGGTACCAACTTTTGTAATTTTCATACCAAAATGTATAAATAATATGCAAATGAAAATTCAATTAGAACGAATGAAAATAAATAAAGATATATATGGTTNGGGGGGGGGTAAAGGTTATTAAACATCCTGTAGATTGTATTGCTAAAATTACCAACTCAATGTCATATTCATCAACAACTTATCGACAACCGAGATATATTTGTCTTTTCAGAAAGTTAAGAGGAAACGAATTTGAGAATAATTTTGTTGTTTGGTTATTCGTGAGTTTAACATCTGTTTAATTATATTTAATTTTTTACTGTTATATAGAGCATTTGAAAATATTCTTGATAAAGAACGTTATTCTCATCTTAAATCACTAGTTTTTATTGCACATATAGTTGAAGAACAATGTCTTTCTAGCAATAGTCATAAAGACATGGAATACATAGAGAAATATTTTGATAAGAAGTTCCCATTGTATTATACGATGAGCAACTTTCTTTTGTTTTGTTTCTTTATTTATGTATTTCAACACAGAACAGACACGTTGTATCATTTATTCATTCGATCCGTCATTTTTATTCATGTGTTCGAGAATATGGTCCGATGTTTAATTATTCTACGTTTTCCTTCGAATCTACAATGGGTTTGTTTTTAAATCTTTTTTTTCACATGATATATTTGGTCATATATGTAGCATCATTCTCTCGAACCATACACGGTGGATCAACATCATTAATTGAATTGATTAAAAATATTGATTTGTATCGTCAAGCCTCAATCTATATCTCCTCTTCATCGTTTTCAACGAAAGGAAGAGAATATGTTTCTCGGATGTGTTCTTTACAACGTCAAATTACTTTTAATTATCGAGATGATGTAACAAATATGAAACTATATCAGAGAATTCCATTACCATCACCTGATTTCTTCATTCAATGGCCAAGTTTATCTCAAACTAATACTTTCTTTTATAAAACATTATTTATTGATAATGTACGTTTTAGTGGTGATGATTTTACAATACAATGACGATCAAATGACACTTGTATATTGTATAAGTCAAAAATCAATTCTTATTCAATCGGCTTCATATTGAGCGTCGTTCATGCAATTGATAAAAATCAGGCTTATATTTTTTTAAATAAAGTAAAAATGGTTTTAATGGCTGATACTATGAACATCGAAGGAAGAATATTCAAATGTAACAATATTCTACAAGGAGTCGTTGTACCTGGTTCTACAATTTGTACCAAAACATCTCAAATTACACAGAAGCTCGCTTTTCGACCAGTTTTCGACGGGGATCTAATAGTACCAAACAACTTTGTCTTTTGTCGATATCCTAATTTGAAAGAAAGTTCTTGATCCATGTCATTATTTAAAAAAATATACGCTTATAACCTAGTAGTAATATTATTTAATAATTTTTTAAAACTCAGTACAGTTTTAAATGACCTCAGGATTTAAAAAAATAGAGACTGTGCATCATAACTAGTTGAAAATGGTTTATTTAGATCAAGATATGTTTTAATGGGCGTTTATTCCATTATTCATCTAAAAGTAGTGTATTTTAATGGGCAAAATGGTCTAGCTACAGAAACTGATGCATTTTAATGACCATTTTTTCATTTTTCACTTGACAAGGATTAACTCTATGCTGTGCAAATTGCAATTGATTCAAAATTGAAAAAAAAGACTATTTTTCTATTCATCAACTAATAAACCTTGAAGATCAATTTTCTTTAAATAGATTTCAAATGTTTTAGTACATGAAATGATATATTTATAAATCAGTATGTTCAACTGTGTCTAATCGGTTATCTTCAATCTGACATCTGTTTTTCTGGTTAGTTTGAAGACAGCTGACAGCAGAGACCTAAAAGCTCATGTTTTTTTTGATGGATCCGAGCCCGATAGGATGCAGATCCAGACCCGGCCGGACCTAAATCCGGTCTTTTTTCCACCAATATCTGACACTCTCTGTGTATACAAAGAGATAAAGGTATAAGATTTAGGATCTTTATTGATCGCTCTAAAAAGAATAGTCAGTACACACTTTAATCATGGAAATAAAAGAAAACACGAAATCTTGAAAGATAAGAAAGAAACCAATATTCGTTGACTTCAATTCTAAAATTATCTAGATCCATGAAATATTACAAACTGGGTCTGAAGCGAAATTTAGGTATAGGCCCGGATCCGACAAAAGCTAGATTTTCAGACTCGGACTCGGGTCTGGACAGACTTGCCTGTCTCTAGACGATAGTAAATATCCGATAACTGAATTGCTGGTCAGCGTAAGTATAAATGATGGGATTTTTGTAGTTATAAAATGTACAAAATTTTGACTATTTGAAATTTTTCGAAATTCAGACAGATACATTTTCAAGCTTAGCACTAAGAATGGATGGAAAAAGACAGAAAGAAAAATTGTCGAAAGCTAGAAGCAATGAAAATGAAGGTAGACGAAAGAAAGATCTTCTCTACCCTCACCCCTCAGATCCTCTTTAAAACAAAATTCTATTTTAGAAAAAGTTTCAAATTAGAATTATATGATTATATCCTATATGAAACTTTGTTTTTTCTAATTTGTTTCTTATGTGTTTAGTAATAAACCACTCTTTTAGGGAGGTAATATACGCGTTTTATAGTACTATTAAAGGAAAGTATAAAAGTTACTGATCAAAATTTCTAATTTATCTTTGCAAAAGACAATGTTATCAAGAGTTATTATCAAAATAAACAGGAAGAGGAAGAGAGCAGGATATTCATCCATACCCTCATAGTTTTATCAATCTTCACAAGAGAATTTTGTCGAGATCCGTGCATGTTTTGATCAAAAATTGCTATTTTAAAGCAAAATGTCATGGTCACCGTATCAACTTACTGAATATTGCGAATCTCTGCGATATTACAAGTGTAAGAAAAGTATTATTTTTATAGACATTCGATATTGCTCTACCAAACACAACACTTGGTTTGCTTGTATCATGAAATTTATTTTTTTCAATTTTTTTCGTATACAATACAATAGGCGCGTCCTTTACTTATATATGTTGATATGAACATGAGAAAATCACTTCCTACAATAATGAATCAATCAGACAAATAAATTCTGATAGGTTCAAAAGAATCCAAGAATAACTAAGATAAATGTTATTGGATTAAGAATTAAACATAAAGAAAGATGTTTAATATAAAACGATATCATATTAGCGATAGGGATGGCGCTTTAACTTTACTTTAAATTTAAAGTTTAAAGTTAAAGTGCTACCCCTAATTTAGGAATGATAATTACACCCAAAGACGGAATCTTGATATTTGAACATCAGATCGACTATTTGGAAAGCGAGTTTGTACCATTAAACGATAAGATTTGACTCTTTTAAAAGAAATTAGACCGTAAATATCGAGAAACACAAAATGTTTTAATTGTTTAATTAATTGAGAAAGATCATCTTGAAAAACAATTGCATGTTGCTCTAAATAACAAAAATTAGTTAGTCTTCTTTCAGAAATAGTTGAGTTACACACTGATAGATTGAGATGTTTCCAGTTTTCGTCTCCATTGTGTGACAACAGTGCCATATGAGTATTTGGATTTGATAATTGGTCGAACTGGAAGAAATCAAAAACAAATAAGTATTATAAATAGTCTTCTTCGTTATCAATATTTTTCTTTTCTTCAGGAAAAATCAATGGTTAGAAAATATTCTATTCAATTTTGTTTTAGAATTTCTGTTTTTTGGATTTGATTAATATACAATACACTGTTTTCGAACTTTATCAACGAAACGATCCTAGAGTGAAATTTAAGGAACTTAAAAAATAAGTAGAGAAGAAAAAGAGACAACTCAGCTATTAATTTTAATCTGTATAGTCGTTTTCTAAACATATTATATCAGTTTTGCGTTTTGTCAAATAAAATAAACACAAAATTATATAAGCTGATGATATGTATCAATTATAGAAATTTGTTTTTTCCAATACATCAAACCTGCTCTGTTATAAGTAGGAGATACGCCTTTATAAAATAGTCCGAAAAATAAGACAATCATATTTAATCAATGTTCGTAAATGAAAAAAAATATACTGGATATATTTTTATAGTTCTTTGACAAAAATTCAGATATTTGTCTAACAAATTTGTCAAGTCAGAAATAGTAAATAATTTGTTTAATTTTTTAACATGTTATCTTTATATTACTATTGAATATATTTCTACTGTCGACCAAAAACAAGACAGTACATGACATCTGATATTCTTCAGTCCTCTCCATTTGCTCTATCATCTGAAAATAAAGATAAATGATTAGTAAGCATACATCAAGAGACGAGATTTTCTTTCCCTAATAACTACTATAATTTAATTAAATATTACTCAGAATTAAAATTAAAAAAAAATCTTACTTGATGTCCAAGGAAAATCATCAGGTCTCCAAAGACGTAATGTTTGTAAATGAGACATATAAGTGCTAAGAAATGGTATGAGCCGTTTGCCAATATGAGCTGATTCATTTGCAGCAAAATTACAACTTGGAATACCAAATTCAGCATGTCGAACAGTACTCAGAGCATTTTCTTTTAAGTCATCAAAAGTCTAAAAATGATTTGAGGATATAATTTGATTTAATCATATAAATTTTTTTTACGTAAACATATACACCCGTGGGCAAAAGTCTCCCCCCCCCCCTGATTTTTTTAAATTGAACCTGTTTAATCTCAAATGATGTTAATTCCAAAGATAGTTTGAGTATTTTATTTTTAGCGTATTGCATGATTTATTCTGATTTGCCACATAAAAGCCTGTACGACATTAAACACAATCAGCTACCATTACAATTAATTTGTTTGACAACATACTCCATGAGTTAGCTTTTTCTTTTTTCAAAGTTTTCTGGATGTTTCACTGATTTTGACTTTTCTAAATCTATATAATCCAGTGTGCCGCATTCTCGGTGAAGCTATGAGTCGATGACGCAGAGAGTTAAATGAGACTAAACAATAAAATCATCCAGACAGTATCGAAAAAAGAAATAGCTCACTCATGGAGAATGTTGTCAAACAAATTAATTGTAATGGTATCTGATTGTGTTTAATGTCGTACAGGCTTTTTTTTGCCAAATCGGAATAAATCATGCACTACGCTAAAATAAAATACTCAAACTACCTTTGGAATTAACATCATTTGAGATTAAACAGGTTCAATTTAAAAAAATCAGGGGGGGGAAGACTTTTGCCCACAGGTGTATATAGTGAAAAACCAAACTAACTATTAGTCCAGAATTTAACAAATTTACATCAATATTAAATTAAATTCGATTAATTTTCTACAATCATCTCATAAATTAATTTATTTTCTTAAAAAAATGATGATAAAAGTCGTACTTACATTTTCAGTAATATATAAAAGCCATTGAAATTTTGCAATAGAAAGGTGTTTGAGTTGAACAGTCATGGAAATTAGATGGGCACATAGTTTTGCACGTACTCTATCTTGGGCTGTAAAGTTAGACCAACGTTCTAAATAAATAATGTTCTTTTGCAAAATAAGCTCAATTTCATATCTCCTACGATCATACATAGAATAATGGCTTACCATTATCAAAGAACTATTTATCAGACATATAGTGATGAAAAAATGATTCATTACGGAATATCTGTTCGTGAAAACAATATTATATTATGAGAATATACTAATGAGAGACAAAAAAACAAGATACAGAACTTTTTCTTGTATGACCTTTTTGCGATTTAAAAAAATATTTTGTCACAAAAATAATATCATATAGTTGTGCCGTACACTTTGCTCTTCTCATCATCATAGCCTTTCTAAATGATAAAATGCCAATCAACGATAACAGCGACTTCTTATTACAGTCAGGAAGTTTTATTACAACTTTAGCACGTAAATAAGACCTTTTTAGTTAGTTCGCTACTCTATTTATCCTTTAAACTCATATTCCTGTATGGGTAATGCCTATAACAATATGATCATCTTCTTATCCGTATAGATTGGAATTAATATATCTATATGATATGAACGTCCACTACCAAAACTTCAATGAAATACGATTGTATTTTATAAAAAGAATCTGCCTTTATTAAACTCTTAAATTATCTGTTATGACTTCTAAGAAAATAATATTAACAGATGTGTAAGTCGATGTATTTATTGATCGGCATCAGTTGAAAATTTCTGATGACTTTCTAAATTTTAATAAATCGGAGGAATTTTGAAATGAATATAGAAAAAATAAGGTCAGAGAGTTCATAGGGATAAGAAATTAGATTAAAACGTCCTTAAAAATTGATGTCAAGTGTTGAAACTTTTTAAAAATCAAATGCTAATATTATACTAGGTCGTCACTCAGTGACGGTGGTTTGATTTATCCGCAATTATTTACAGTAATCATGAGACATCACTGATATTTCTTTAACACTTGACAGCAACCTCTGACAAAGGAAAAGCTAATCGGCATGTAGCTTTAAATATTGTCTGAGATGTTTAATTTTAAATATTCACTAGAATACTTTCAAATTTTTTTCGACAGAAAATATACCGTGAAGTTCGTTTACAATATAAAAGCTTAAACACTGTTACAGGTTGTTTTCAACAATATTTGACTAAGAACCATTTTATATTAATTCTCTTTGTTCGTCTATCTCTATAAAAGATATTCAAAAAGTGTAAATATTGAAGATTTGAAATAAACATTTTTCAATCTATTCATGTCAGAGTATCAGCTTTCTTTTAAAAGGATATTCAATTAAATTTTATGAGAAAGATCTTAAGATTGTTTTTATTGTATAGTGAATCATACATGTTTTCTGTTATATTTTTCAACAATTCAAAATCATAGAACTGACTCATATAACGAAAATAGTCATTAGAACAAAAAGAAATACATCATTTTTCAAAAAAAAAAGTCAATTTATACATACGAGTTGCGCGACGATGACAAGATCCAAATTGAAGTTTTGTGACATTTACTAATTGAATATTATTTAAATTTCGTAGTCGTATATTATCTAATATTGGCGACATATGCAAATTATCAGCAGAACCTTCTACAAATAAATAAACATTACTTAATCTTTCTCTCTCTCTACAGTAAACAGCGAGGCAGCAAAATTATTTTTTGACATTAAATTTTGTTAACAGCATGATGTACAATAACGTTGAATAATATTTAATGCAATAACGTATTAAATGCGTTGTAAAACGCATATTTACTGTTTAATAAAAGAGCTTTATTGAAACGCTTTTGCCAATAATATAAATTTCGTTGTTGATGGTTTATGTTTACTATTCAGTATTCTTATTCTTTGACAAAACATGGCTGATATCTTGGCAAAGACCTCATCTCAATTCCATTGCATTATGAGCTGTAGTCGAATTCATTGAGACAAAAACTAAAAATACATTACCTATGTCTATGGTGATGCACGAAACATTTGAACATAATTTATTAAATTGTTCGTAAAATGAATAGATAGATGTATTAAAAATGATTTTAATATGACGCATCTCTGATGGATCATACGATATATAACGATAATTGCTAAATGAGAAAGATAATTTGATGACAAATTTTCATTAGTAAAATATCTTACGATAAATCATTCAAGACTTGAAATTTGTCAAGAGCAGAAGAGAAAAGATGTTGGTATTCCTAATAAAATATTGTGTGAGTTAAATCTTGGTTATTGTCAACAAAATACAAAATATGGAGAACTGAGCATAGTTTGAAAATTTAGATACAAGATCACATTATATCAAGATCTATTATTAAATCTGTTTTGATACAGATTTATTAAATCTTTACTAAAGTATACAAGGCTTCAAAGCAATCATTCGAATTTATTTTTTAATCACTCGAAATACTTCTGAAAATAATTTGTCTAGTATAAAATTCGATATTGAATGTAAATCTAATGTTAACTTTCTCTTATAAACATCACAAGTCAAGTAAAGACTAATATTTAGTTCAAAAACTATTCGAAATCACCTTTTTTCTGAACACTCGCGAACGAAAGATCGGATTTTATTGAAAAATTTTGTACTAGACCTTCCTAAGTTCAGGTTTCGCTCAGAATTGATGAACTGTTCGAAAAGTTCAGTTCGTTTCAAAAGAACTTTTGACCAGTTCTTTCGCTCATTTGAACGGAGTTCATGAACGTGAACTGGTGAACCCCTATTTTGTATGATCTGATTTCTAGAAATAAAAAAAAGACGTTTTTCGTTACGTATTGTTACTCAAGATCTCTATTTTATATACAAATCTTAAAGATCTATTCATTTTTCTACACTTCGTATTTTGATCATGATTTTTACTCACTTGATATTTCATTGATATATTTTCATTATAAAAACATTTAACATCTGTCCATTGAGGATCGATAAAAAATGAATCGATTTTAAAGGAATTTATTGTTCTAAAAATATCATTTGATGATAATTGACAATTTGCACAAATATAAAAGCGAAAATCTTTCAAATTAATTATTCGATCAGGTAAACAATATTGACGAATGAAATTTGCATCAATAAAAGATCTCCATATAATATCATTTCTATTCCATATATATCCGCTATGTAAATTAATTTCAAGTTTTTTAACATGATTAACATTATTAAGAATCCATTTTAAATAACCAAATTCCAAGTCATTGACAATTAGACTCTTCAATTTAAAATCTTCCAATTTTTGTACCTGTGTTACACAGAGAGTCAATCATTATTTTGAAAAAAATGGATTTATTTCGATGAAAACAATAATCATCGAAAATATTCAATTGCTGGGTATCTATTAAAAATCTAGTTTTTTAATAAAAAACTTTGAACGATTATTTCAAATTGTTCGTTTTACTCTCAAGAAGCGATTATAATCGTCAACAGTTTTCCCTTTGCAAATCATCACATACGATGCGTCTCATTATTAATTTATGTATATGATGTACTCTTAGTTATAGAAATTTAAAAGTTCTCATTATTTAACGAATATGTCACGTATAGTTTTCTACTGATTTACTTAAAAAAGATTTTTTTTGCGATTAGTGTGAACATACTAAATCACGAAAACAGATATCACACTTTTTCATATTAATAAAAATATCAAGAATTTACAAATACACCATTTCTAAATAGCAAAAAATATCAATATTACCGCCAAATATTATTTTAATAACAATTTATGAATGAGGACTATAATAGCCTTAAACATATATTGATTATATCAACAAAAAAACAAGAAAATAATCGGAACGATTTATTATGTACAATGGATCAAGCGAGAAAAGTGTTGCAGTAGTACACTCGAGTTTTAACAGTACTATAAGCTTCGATTAATATGAGTGAAGTACATCATTACATCGCAACACATCTTAATTCAAGTCTACTACTCTATTAGCTAATTCACATATGGAACAGTATACTCCAAGCCTGATGAAAGACTCATTTTTTTTATTCACAACAATCCCAAATGTTTATGAACATTTTATTAAAAATTTCTTAGTTATGTTTTCTCAAACCGCTCAGTATTGGCAGAATAATTTGTACATTAAATGTTGAACACTCGGATAATGCTTCTAAACTTCAAAATATTTCTATTGATCCACTCTAGAATTTATCTAATTTTGTTCAGATTTAAAAGTATCTATTTAAATTTTTTAAGATCGTAGCATTCTAAGATTCGCTTTATTTTTCTCAACAGATATCTACTTTTTCTTTCAAATAATAATCAATGCTTACAAAATGGCCATATTTATATCAAATAGAAATCATCATTTACGATGCTAACAGTAACATATTTCCGGTACATGCTACTCGTCATTTTATAGTATTGAATCAGTTTAATTCAAAGTCTGATATCTTTTATTCAATATGAGAGACTTTAAACATTAAAATAGATCAATACCTATGAAGCGAATACTCTATAAATAAATACAAATTTGGATTTTTCTATTTTTTGGATAAAATCACTTTTAATAATTCTTCAAATTTGCGTTAATATAAAATAATAAACACAAAACTATTTTCTTAAACAATCTAATAAAGTAGTAAAAATATTTTTCTATGAACTTGTGTCAATTGTCTTTACTAATGCTATCAAGTAGAGCTATACAGCTCACGCTCATTCTCAAATGAGTGGTTGTGAGCGTGTGTGTTTTATTTTAAGTATATCCTAAAAACTCAGTGCATTGAACTTCTTTTAGTTAGGACTAAACAGCCCATACTTAATAGCGCTCATTTGACTTGAGCGTGATCGTGAATTGTACACTCCTAACTTCAAGTAATATCGTTTTTTTTAAATCTTTGTATCAATAATAAAATGAAGTCAAGGTCTTTCTTAGGAGTTCGAATTTATGTGAAAAAAAGTCTTACTTTATTGAACCAATTTCCATTTGATAAAATCAATGTTTCAATATTTGAACCAAAGGCTATATCCTTGTCCAAGGAATGTCGAAAATGAACCGATAATTGTTCAAGATTGGGAACATATTGAACTAGATGGTATTCGAGATTCTCTCGAATACGAAATGCGGTGCGAAGCACGAATCTCTCGAATTTTCGAATAAAACTAATTTTGTTTTTTTATGAATTATATGTACTTACATTTTATCATAATCGAATGAGAAAATTATTAAGTTGTTGTAGTTGAAAAGTACTTTGATGTAGAACTCAATTTAGAATAGTCTCGTAAATGTTTCTTTTCTTTCTTTAATGAAAAATTATTTAGTACCACAGATTTTATATGTTTCAATGAGTTTGAACAATTATTGATAAGTTTACAATGAGTATTCATAGAATTGATGGTAATGAAGAAATTGACAATCATTTAGCTATGAAAAAATTGAAACAAAATTCTTCAATTGATGATACGAAGCTTATTTGTAATTGTCATGAAGATGATCGATTTTAACGAAGAATGACTTTATTTTGCAATAGTTTTGTTTTCATAAAATGAGGTCATGTTGATCGAATGTCTTATGGTGCTAAATTACATAAAGCAATGAGGAATTTTTATAAACATTTATATCACAATATGAATGAAGGAAATGTTTCTTAGACTTTTTTATTTAGATTAAATAAATTCTTGATTTTTAGATATTGAACCATTATTTGCAGCATATTTTACGTAAATAGAAGAAAAAAAGATTGTGAACTCAATTGATTAAAATGATTTTACAAAAACGAAAAAATTTTACAGTTCAATATTATTTATCAAAATGAATGACGATTCAAAATTTATGGTAATTTGAATTTCTTATTAATCAATTTCCTTTTTTTATTTCAGTTCTATCACATGAATGTTTTACGTCGATAAATTATTTGTCAAATGATACTTTTACAATATAGTATCAAATATTTATATCGTTGAGAATAATACACAATGCAATTAATGTGCTTTAAAAGGTTTTCATCTTTATATTAAGAATTTTCTTTTTAAAATTCTTTTTTAAGAGAGTTCCTATTAAATCGTTGGTCAATAATAAAGAATTCAGATGAAATATAATTATGTCTATTTCAATATTGTTTAAATGCATATGATTTTTTTTCTTGTATTCACGGTAATAAATAATGAAAATATATTATCAAAGATAAAACAATTTCAAAGACAATGAATAACTATGTTTATTATTGATTACATAATATGTTTCGGTTGAAAACATTTGACTCTACTAGAATTAGTTTGTTTTCGTTATCAATGTATACAAGAAGGTTGTGTCGATCAGCTGACAAAAGTCGAAAGCAAAACGAAAAGCGGGCATAGCAAAAATTAGGGCGCTCTCCATCGATATTTTCATTTTCTTTTTGGATTAATTTTTGTTTTTTTTTTGTATTTATTTAATTCTTGTGTGAAAAACATTCTATATAAAAAAGTTGACAGTTTTTTATTTTAAAGATTCTTTTCTTGATTATATATTAGGTAATTAAATGTCTTGATTTTTATACTCGTGTTGCGACGTCGAACAAATTGTGCCTAAATTATTTGTTGTTTGAATAAATTATAATATAAGTACAATTTTATTAGTAACTTACATCTCGTTAAAAACGAAATGCTAATCATATGAACATATTCAACTATTTTTTATAAATATATATTTTTTGTACTATGCTTGTGTTTATTGAAACGATCTCGATATTATTTAATCTAAATAAAAAGTGAATAAAGTTATATGTGGTACAGTTGTTTAATATATTGTTTTATTTATTTTACCTGAGAGAAAATGAGAAGTCCTAATTTATATTAAAAATGTGGATATAAAATTATTATATAGAATACATGTTATTTTTTGTGCAAATCTCTCGGTTCGAATAAATCATTATAACGTGTTAATAGTGAAATGACAAAGTCCATATCCAAATTAATAGATGTGAGATAATTACATATATCATATTTGTAGGCATCTAAATGTATAATGGAATAATTTAAAGTTACTTTGGATATATTTCAATAACTTACAAAGTAGCGATTCAAGTATAATTTGATAAAAGAAATTTCATTTTAATGCAACAGGGACTCTAAATAAATAAGAGATTTGCTTTTGTACTAATAAAAACGTTAATGTGAAATAAAAACGCACATCTAATTATATTTTTATGTACACGTACCTTTTTTCTAAGGACTTGATGTAGTATGTCGTCGACACTAACACATATGATGAAGATTCATAGGATATATAATTAACTTAAATATGTTTCTCAAGTGTGATAAGAAAATTTTGTGGTCGTTGTTTTAGTTATTTGATAAAACTGTTATACATTATCGTCAATCTGTGCGAAAATTTCGGTAGAAAATATTATTTGTAATAAACAACTTACTGTTATTATGTATAAGAAATCAATATTAAGAAGAATAAGAAATAATNATGTCATAACTAATTGCTAATATACAACTTTTAATCTAAATAGATATATAAGCCATTCGAGACAAGTCTTTAGTTTTGATTGAAATTCACATTTCTGATCGATTTTTTTGTAAATGATTTTAAATAAATTACAGTATTCAACAATTTATTCTATCGATAAATCGTATGATTAGATTTCATAGAAGTTAATCTTGAGGGTGTGGGTGAAAGGAAGAACTAGACTAACATTCACATTCACCCATCCATTTAGTCCCATAAGTACAGGTAGCCTTTTTGCGAAGAAGTATGCAAATGAAGTGGACGCTTATTTTGAGTGTTTTTTTTATCATTATTCAACAAATTATGCAAAACGAAAACGGTAGTTTGTCTTTGTCAAAACTAACAAAAGAATCATTTTGTTTACATCAGTGATGATAATTAGAACGCTCACAAATAAATTCGATAGAAGAAGTTGAACTAGTTCTATACAAATCTTGTCCAAAAGTCTAAGAGTTGACACGATTTTCAAAAAAATAATTTAGTGAAATTCGATGTTGAGAGTTGTGAACATTCATTTCGCATTCAGAACTGATATGTAAACCGGTACATCTAACATAATAAAGAACGATTTTCGTTATACTCCTTCTTAACATATGTTCATACATATGTCACGATAGAAAAAATATTTGTAGTACTTTCGTTAGTTACATTTGTGAAAATAAGGTAAATATTTTGTATCGATGCTTATGTGCATTTAAGCATAATATGATGTAATTAGCGAGAAATGTTTCAGACTTTCATTTTTAAGAAAGAAAGAATTATGATTAATCTACTCCTTTATGCAGCACTAATCTGTCTCATATCATTGATTGATTAATGAAATGCATATGCAAAACTAATATCTAGGTGCATAACATTATGTTTTATCGATAGCGACATCAATAGAAAGAACGCATTATAAGACTGTTGTATATAAGAGCAGGTAATATTATCTTAGATTCTGTTGCAGTTGTAAAAAGCCATGATTTCAAAATTGTTTTCATTGGTGTCAGCATTTTATATTATTTTCGTTTCCATTACATCAGCAACCAATACAACCGGCAGTGCCGTACAAATCTCTAATTCAGTCTTTACATCAGATCTACTTCAAGGTTATCATGTTTTTAGAAAATATCAAGAAACTACAACATTCGAATTGTCTTCTTCATCTGATGTTTTCGTTAAAATACCTGGTCTTACTTTTGCTACTCATCATTCACAACCAATGGTATATCAACTTCAATTCCATGGAACATGCCAGCAATACTCATCTGCAACTCATAGTTTTATTCGTTTTCTAATCGATAATCGAGTACTCATTTCAAATTATCTCTTGCCAAACAATGATCAACGACAAGCACTTGCTCCTGAACTTGGTATTAGTAATTTTTATGTTGACTATCGTGGTGGTTCAATGTCTTACGGTGCTCTTACTACTGTAGCAATGCCTTGTCCCAAATCTGACTTGATTTTGCTCAAAGGAGGAACTCATATTATTGAAGTCGCTGCTCGTTTTGTAACCAATGGGAAACTTTATATCTTTGGCGGTGAGCTGACAGTTCAGATGATGCAGTACCAAGTAGGTACTCGCATTACCATTCCGAGTCCTATAATTCGCGGATGAATGGACAATATTCTTTTCTGATTTACAAATTTCAATTTATTACTAATAATCTTGAATTTTCTGCTGATCTGCGAGTGCCTCTTTATTTCTAATATTTAAAAAACATTGAAGTACATAATAAAATAGAATAAGTCGCAATAAGAATGTGTCACCTCTGAAATTATTGTGAAACTGTTTAACTGATTAATAATTATTTAATCATGAAATCTATTGCATTTGTTAGATTGAAAGTTGATTGTGAAGATTTCAAATTCCTGTTGTTTCTCCAAAAATTTTATTTTTTGAAAAAACAATTACTTTTTAAATACGTATACAATATAGAAAAATGAAAAATTCTCAATTCTACGAGAAACGATCATTGACTGGGTGTGGGTGTAAGTTACATTAGTATCAACTAATCGATGGAGCGGATTATTATCATTCTCATTCCCCTTTTTCGCTTCGTGAAGTATAGTCGCATTTTTTCTCGTCTTATATCGTTACATTCTTTTGCATCAGCCTCCCTAAAAAGATAAGGGAGTAATGATGACTGAAGAAATTAATGTTGGTTCCCAACTAAATCATCAAACAACAATTAATGGCTACCAAATTATGGAACAAGATAATGTAG